GAGTCCATTTCCCATCTCTATACAGCAGCCAACATGGCCCAAAATGGTAAGTAACTTTTCGTGATTTGTTGCATTGTTTTGAAGTTTTACTAACAGTGTGCCAGTTTTATACTTTCAGGGACTGGGAAGAGGAACAACGATGGAGGAGCAGGGTCGACCAACAGAGGAAGACGAGATGACGAGTCCATTTCCCATCTCTATACAGCAGCCAACATGGCCAAAAATGGTAAGTAACTTTTCGTGATTTGTTGTATTCTTTTGAAGTTTTACTAACATTGTGCCAGTTTTATACTTTCAGGGACTGGGAAAAGGAACAACAATGGAGGAGCAGGGTCGACCAACAAGAGGAAGACGAGATGATGAGTCCATTTCCCATCTCTATACAGCAGCCAACATGGCCCAAAATGGTAAGTAACTTTTCGTGATTTGTTGCATTCTTTTGAAGTTTTACTAACATCGTGCCAGTTTTATACTTTCAGGGACTGGGAAAAGGAACAACGATGGAGGAGCAGGGTCGACCAACAGAGGAAGACGAGATGACGAGTCCATTTCCCATCTCTATACAGCAGCCAACATGGCCCAAAATGGTAAGTAACTTTTCGTGATTTGTTGCATTCTTTTGAAGTTTTACTAACATTGTGCCAGTTTTATACTTTCAGGGACTTTGAAGAGGAACAACGATGGAGGAGCAGGGTCGACCAACAGAGGAAGACGAGATGACGAGTCCATTTCCCATCTCTATACAGCAGCCAACATAGCCCAAAATGGTAAGTAACTTTTCGTGATTTGTTGCATTCTTTTGAAGTTTTACTAACATTGTGCCAGTTTTATACTTTCAGGGACTGGGAAGAGGAACAACGATGGAGGAGCAGGGTTGGCCAACAGAGGAAGACGAGATGACGAGTCCATTTCCCATCTCTATACAGCAGCCAACATGGCCCAAACTGGTAAGTAACTTTTCGTGATTTGTTGCATTCTTTTGAAGTTTTACTAACATTGTGGCAGTTTTATAATTTCAGGGACTCGGAAGAGGAACAACGATGGAGGAGCAGGGTCGACCAACAGAGGAAGACGAGATGACGAGTCCATTTCCCATCTCTATACAGCAGCCAACATGGCCCAAAATGGTAAATAACTTTTCGTGATTTGTTGCATTTTTTTGAAGTTTTACTAACATTGTGCCAATTATATACTTTCAGGGAGTGGGAAGAGAAACAACGATGGAGGAGCAGGGTCGATCAACAGAGGAAGACGAGATGACGAGTCCATTTCCCATCTCTATACAGCAGCCAACATGGCCCAAAATGGTAAGTAACTTTTCGTGATTTGTTGCATTCTTTTGAAGTTTTACTAACATTGTGCCAGTTTTATACTTTCAGGGACTGGGAAGAGGAACAACGATGGAGGAGCAGGGTCGACCAACAGAGGAAGACGAGATGACGAGTCCATTTCCCATCTCTATACAGCAACCAATATGGCTCAAGGTTGTAAGTAACAAATTGATTATTTAAATGAAGTTTGTCATTTGTTAGGGAATGTGAGTGATTTCCTTTGATGTATTTGTTTTCTCTTTTTAAGCAGAAGAAATTTGAGGCTGACCAGGATCCTGAAGTGAAGAGCAGTCCCTCTGCCATTTAACAACGTTCATGAGCAGAAAGTGCGGTAAGATTCATACTTGACCTCTGAGCACCTTTTCCCAATATTATGGCTTTCCAATTGATGTTGGCTTTTTCAGGCTTTGACCTCTTGAGTTTGAATTGACAGGAAGCAGAGATAGCCACCTCTGAAGGTCAGTCTGGAGTGTTTTCTGCTGCATTCAGAAAGTATGGGGTGTATAGTAGTTGTAAGTAGCGTTACAAAGGTGTTTCTTAGTCTTAGGTTTAGTTTGTATAGTATTTCCGGTAGGTGTAGTTGTGTTGTAGTTTGAGTTAGTAAATAGGCTTTAGGTGATAGTTAGACATCTTAGAGGAGTGTAGGTTATTATTGTAATTAAGGTATTAGTTAGTTAGTGCATGATTAGTGCTTGTGGTGGATAGGTTTGCATGATTAACACCCTAACAAGCAGGGTTCTCCATGAGCTGTTTTACTGTGTTGGTCCCGACACAGAAAAATGTTCTCTGACACAGTAAAGATTCAAATTTTATCTGTGCGACACATTAAAAATTTTGCTGACACAGTAAGATCTGTGATAATAAAAAAAAATTTGAAACATACAAATTCTCTCTATCTGAAACAAAATTGATCAAACAATTCTACCATCTTTCAATTCTGTACGATATCTAGATCACTTAATTATGCTTTCACCTTGCATAATCAATTATTTCCTAGACCCTCAATGGACTTGACGCATGAAGAAACAAAGACAAAAAATTGGATTTCAAACTTCCATGTAACGCTTAATTGGTACTAGTAGTTGCAATTAAAGTACATTGTATTATTTTAAAAATATATTTAAATGTCTTTTCTTCAGAGCCATTGCTCTAGAATTATGTTTGCAATGTAAATCAAACATAACACTGTACCAAAATCATTTACTTGATGTAAATAAATAGTTTTCAATTTTAAAGGAACTTTTAAAAGTATTTTACTATTCCGAAGTCTCTTTTTTTTGTAATTCCTTAATTCGATCAATAAAATTGACAAAAAAATTATGACAAATTTGCTTTAAAAAATTGTAAGTAGTTCAACTTCATAGACAAGAAATTCCTCTGCATTTCACAACATGTGCTAATATGTTCGACCATACGATTTTGGTAATGAATTGGTGATTTTTTTAAAAATTGTGTGCATGTATTTCTAAGTAATTATAATGAATAGTGAGTCAGTTGCAAATTTGATCGCTAAAATACCGTGAAGTTTTAGTTCTTTGCGTAAACTCTGCAACACAGTAAAATTTCAAACAATGGAGAACCCTGAACAAGTAACAAGCTACTAAAACTACTAACGTCTGCTAAATGTTGTGTGACGCGTCTAGTGTGTTGGTGTTAGTGTCTGTGTGCTTGTCACCTCTCGCTTTCAGCCATCACCGCTGGCTAGCAGCAATGCAAAAAGGGGGAAGAAATTCTAATGACTTCCCCTGCCAGTACATAGCCTCTCCACAACAAGTCCTATGCGATGCCTCCACGTGGAAGCAGACGGATACTGGGTATCATTTTGTCCCAGGCTAAGTTCGCAAGGACGCACGGGAAGATGAGTCTCAAAAGCATTGGTAAACATCTCATATAGGATCTTTCCTGATCACAAACCCAATTTAGTAGTAGAATCAATTGATATAAGTGCTGGTTTTTAAAAGAAGTGAACCTTTGTTCATTTTATGTCTTTGTCATCTTTTTAGCTCACCTGAGCCAAAGGCTGAAGTTAGCTTTTCTGATCACATTTTGTCCGTCGTCTGTCCGTCTGTCCATCTGTATACTTTTCACATTTTCGACTTCTTCTCAAGAACCACTGGGCCAATTTCGACCAAACTTGGAACCAAGCATTCTTGAGTGAAGGGAAATTTAAATTGTTAAAATGAAGGGCCAAGTCCCCTCACAAGGGGAGATAATCAAGAAAAGACAAAACTAGGGTGGGGTCATTAAAAAATCTTCTCAAGAACCACTGGGCCAGAAAAGCTGAAACTTCTGTGGAAGCATCCTGGGGTAGGGTAGATTCTAAATTGTTCAAATCATGAGCCCCGGCGGTTGGGCGGGGCCACAATGGGGAATCAAATTTTTACATAGAAATATATAGGAAAAATCTTTGAAAATCTTCTTCTTAAGAACCACTGGGCCAGAAAAGCTGAAACTTATGTGGAAGCATCCTGGGGTAGTGTAGATTTCAAATTGTCTAAATTTTGATCAGTGGGGTAGGGTGGGGTCACAGTATGTGTTACAAGGGGGAAATCTGGTAAAGAACTGAATGGTCAAAATATATATAATACTGTAGATTCCTTATTTTTCGCGAGTAATTATCGTGAATAAGCTTTTCACCGTCAAATCACAAGAATAATAATTCGCAAATGCATGGTTGGTAAAGAGATTTTACATAGATTTCAGCGCCATAAAAGTAAAGGCGAGTTATTTAATTTTGTGTGTGGTGCTTCTCACAAAATTACGCGAAAATTAATTCCACGCACATATTTAGGAATCTACAGTATGTAGGGATATACTTTTTTTTTCTCAAGCCACAATTACTTATATTGATAGCAAATCATCCTTTGTGGTAGTGAAGATTTCATTTTGTTCAAATCATGTCTACCGGGAAAAGGTTTGGGCCACATTGGACAATCAAAGTTTTACATTGGATTATATTGGAAATATTTTTAGAAATCTTCTCAGAAACAAATATGTCATGACTGGTGATATGTATATGGTAGCATCTTCATGTAGTGTAGATTTAAGTTTGTTCAAATCATGACTCCCAGGTGTAGGGCAGGGCCCCAATGGTGGATCAAAATGGACAGGGGAATACTGTAAATCACTTTTTATTCGTGAGAACTTTATTTTCACATTATTATGCTAGACGGTATGGTCGCGAAAATTTCATTCTCGCGTATAATATAATTCCTTAAGATTATATAGAGCAATGACCACAATTTTGAAAATTTTGTCTCGCTAATGAAGAGTCATTTACTATCTCGCGAAAGTAAGGTGTCGCGAAAATTAAGTGATTTACAGTATATAGGAAACGTCTTCTCAAGAATACCAAAGCCATATATAGTCATATTGATATGGAAGCATCCTTCGGTAGTGTAGTAGTGTAGATTCAAATTTGTCCAAATCTTGATTCCAGGGGGCGGGGGGGGGGGACATCAATGGGGATAAAATTTTAACAAAGGAATATATAGGAAAAAAATTTATGTTCAAGAACAGCTAAGCCATTGTTATTGATATGAAAATGTCTCCAGGTAGTTATTCAAGCCCCCTTCTCCTCTTCCTAAATTTTTATACTTTTCAATACTGGACTAATTTGTCATTTACAAGCCAATATGCTTAGGTGAGCATACTGCCCATTGGCCACTGGTTTATTTTAGAAATCTTCTCACTTGGTATGAAGTGCAAGTGATCCCCTTTTGGTGTCTGTTAATTTTTATCTTTTTAAGAGGAATACTTTTAAGGCTGAACAGGATCCTGAAGTGAGGAGGACTCCCTCTCTCATTGAACTGCATACAGCAGCAGAAAGCAGGGTAAGATTCAGATTTTACTTCTTGTATCTTTGCTTGCCTATTGATGTTGGCTGTACCAAGCTTTAACATCTGGACCTTCAATTGACAGATTTCAGTTCCCCTTTGATTCAGAAGAGGAATATGAGAAGAGTCTATCCCTGTCTGTGTTTTGCATGTGTTATGTTTCAAAAGTGGTAAGCAACAAGCTGCTTTTTACTGAAGCTTCTCACTTGGTATGAAGTGCAAGTGTTTCCCCTTTTATGTCTCTGTTTTATCTTTTTAAGCAGAAGAAATTTAAGACTGACTAGGAATTCTAAGTGAGGAAGAGTCCTTTTCCCATTCCGCTGCAGCCATGAGGAGAATACTTGTAAGAATCAGACTTTACTTCTTTTTTTACCTATGGAACTTCATCATGACCCACTTTAACAGGCAGGAGTCTTACAAGTATTTTTTATTTAATTATTTCTGACATATCTTTGTCCTCCCTACTCTAAAGTAATTGTGCTTTCCTCTCCTTGCCCCAATATTCCACCTTATTCCTAGCTATCATAACCTTATTGTCTTTATTTGCTTTTTGATTTTCAAGCTAATAATGTTGTAATGATTATGTTCATTTGAATTTCTGTGATTATTACATTGCTTTGTATTATTGCGTATCTTCTCTCCATCAAGTATTTTCAAGGGAATTAAGAGTACCAGTGCTGACCAAGTGAGGAAAAAGAAGAGTCTATTGCCAAGCTTTGTACAGCAGCCAATATCTGATTAAGAAGTGGGTAAAAAGATTTATTTTTTGCAATTTACAAATTTTCTTTATACACTTATCAAATCATAGGTCCAGGGGGATTTACTTCTGCTGCACAACAGCAAGACTGTGTTGCAATAACAATAGGGCATCCCGAGGATGTGTTGTTTCAAATTAGGTTACATCATGATCCCTTTGGACTAGGATTAGTAAAAAAAATATGAATTAAGAATTTTTCCTTTGATGACAAAGTCAAGGTGACTCATTTGAACATTTTGTCACAAGGTATTTTTGTTCATGTTTTTTTCATTATCTTTGGATTTCCTTTGTTAACAAGTAGAAAATGAGACTGATCTCAATCAGTTAACAAGAATGTGGAAAGTAAGGACTTACTACTGTCTAACCTAAACATTGATGGTTAGTCAGATCAGATGCATGTAAAGCTCTAGACCTTGCATTATGTGAATTAGAGGAGATTTTGACTCTCTCATTGCTTGGATTCTTAGTGTCTTTTTGTTAATAGGCAGACGGTTATGCTGGCATTGATCCTGTTTCCAAAAGCAGATCAACATGATTCCTCAAGACTCCAAAGAGATCAACTATGGGACCTGAAAGTAAAGGTAAGACACATGTACAAGCTCTGCAAAATCCTTCTATTCTGTAAAAATATGTTAGCTATATTTCATTTATTAAGATTTTATTAATATTTATGTTGAGTCCTTGTAATTTCTTTTTTTACAGGCAGACTGCCATCAATTTCATGTTTCTTTGATAGCAGACAAATATGCTTCAACAATAGTGCAGAGAGTAATTTAAGGTTTGGACTGCAAGTGATGGACACACTAAATAACTCAACTCGAAGAATTCAATGGATAGTACTGAGTACATTATTATATATCTACAAAGTGATGAGCACACTAAATAGCTTAACTGACAGAATTCAATGGACCGTGCTGACCCTTATCAAAATGAAATCCATTTAGATACCATTTAAAAGCCATTTCTTTTCTGACCATTTAAAGACCATTCAGAAACCATTTTATTTTGTCAAATCTTTCAAGAATTCTCAACAGAAAGGCTGATCATTTAAAAACCATTTTTCATTTTATCTCCATTCAAAGTCCATTCAAAGTCCATTCAAACACCATTTTTTTGGGCCTGTAACATGCAAATTAACCATTCCAAAACCATTTATGCAAATGAGATGAAAAATGAAAAATAAATGGTTTTTGTTTTAACCATTTAATATCCATTTTAAAACATTTTCTCCATAATTGAAAAATGAAAAATTTAGGTGGGTCCTTAATTGATATCCATATGCAAGGAATATTAAGCACTTTAAAAATCCATCTTCTTAGTTGCAGAGTCAGTCACAAAAACAGAGGTCACTTGTTCAATTTTTTTCACATATTTGGTTTTTGAATTCATGGAAAAATCCCAGTTTGATCTGAATTGTGGTAGTCTTACTCCATCTTTGAAAATTTATATCTTCCCGTGCTCATTTTTGTGCTCCATCATGTCTATGCAAGCAGTATTCTAAAAATAAAAGGAAATGCAAGAAAATATTTACAATTTGTTTTTAATTGATGTTAATCAATAAGAATTTACAAAAGTGTCCATTAGCTAGTCTGACAAATTTTCATTAACAAGATTGGTTTATAGATTATTGCATCAATATGATTAATGGGCACTCGATCCTTTTGCGTTTTCTTTGGGAAACATTTTTCTGTTACTGAAATTAATAAAAATTATGTACATATTTATACTTACCACTCAAAAAGAATAAGGTCCTTTCAGTGTATGGAAAATGAATGTGTTGCATTTCTTCTGCTTTAAACTTCCCAATTGGGCAAATGTTTGAAACATGAAAATAGTCACAAATAATATCGTCTTCCAAGAAATAAGTTATCTATTTCTGCTTTGACCATCAATATACAGTTTTGTCAGCTTCAAAAAACACTAAAAACCTATATATTCCTTGAAGAATAGTCCATCCATCTAAACTCACTACCAGCTAGGTCAAAGTGCTCTTGTCCAATATTCAAACTTAAACTTGGAAAAGGCGGTCACTACAGAGCTTGGGAAGAAATCTGATATCCAGTGCCCCATTATGAAAACCTGGCACATGGCATCAATTAACCACTGATAAATCTATCTTAATATTAAAGGCTAAGACTAACCATTTTTTTCTTGTCTCCATTTCTTAGAAAATAAATGGGAGAAAAATGGCCCCATCAAGCAAGGTGGATCACAAAATTGGCATTTCTTTTCCATTTACTCAAATAAATGGAAAGAAAATGTTGGAACTTTACCATTTAAAATACATTTTCTAACAGAAATGGTTCTTAAATGGTTCTGAGAAAATGGTTTATGAAAATTGAAAGATAGGGAAATGTAGGAAAAATGGTTTTGAAATGAAAAATGGCTAAAAAATGCTGAATAAATGGAGATAAAATGGAAAAATGCCATTTCTTTTTGCTATGGGGAGAACATTGTTATATATCTACAAAGTGATGGACACACTAAATAGCTTAACTGACAAAATTCAATGGACCGTGCTGAGTACATTGTTATCTACAAAGTGATAGACACACTAAATAGCTTAACTCACAGAATCCAATGGACAGAGTTGAGTACGTACTAATATCTACAAAGTGATGGACACAGTAAACAGCTTAGTTCTCAGGATTCAGTGTACCATGCTGAGTACATAACTCATTAAGGATAACTCATATGACATCCACAGCAGATCACTCAAAGTTGTGTTACTACATTATTGTACATGTACAACTTTTCATATACTACGTTATTTTTTCTGAATGTTTTTTTTTTGTATCTGTATATTATATTTTTTAATTTAAAAAAGTTAAAGATTGGATTTTTAAGCAAAAATATCAAGAGAGGTAAATCAGTGCTTGTCTGAATATCTAAGCTTAAGAGAAAGGGAGGTAATTTTTTTCATTGTGAATCCTTGTCCAGAGCATATACTTTCTCCCCTTGGTCCAATGTGGCTAATACTTCTCTCACAGAGTGCCACTGGTCAATGGATGTGTAGTGACCTTGAACAAAGTTTCTAGGCCAAGAGTCAAGGTTAAAACCCCTTTCAGCTACTTTACATTTTTATGTTCATTGCTGAAAGTGGGACCCTTTGAGATGGCCACCATCTCAATGATATCTAATTTTAGTTTGAAAATTGCTAGAAAAGATAAAGTGATCTCATTGTAACATTATTATTTTTTAGTGTTTTAGATTATAAATAAATATAACAATATGCAAAATCTAAATTCTTTTATATTTTCTCTCCTTTGATTTACATAGCAGGCCTTGCAGTTTTTAGCTCATATGAGATTTTCTGATCACCTGTTGTCCGTTGCCCATCCGTCTGACTGTCCATTCATCTGTAAACTTTTCACATTTTCAGCTTATTCTTGAGAACCATTGGGCCAATTTTGACCAAACTTAGTACAAAACATCCTTGGGTAGTGGGAGTTTAAATTATAAAAATAAAGTCCCCTTCCGAGGGGAAATTGTTAAGAATATACAAAAATAGGGTGGGGTCATAAAAAAATCTTCTCAAGAACCACTGGGCCAGAAAAGCTAAAACTTCTTGGAAGCATTATGGGGTAGTGTTACTAGTGTAGATTCTAAATTGCTTGGATCATGACCCCCTGGGGATTGGGAAAGGTCAAGATAGGTATTAGGGGGAAATCTGTTTAATAACATACTGGCCAAAGTTACTCAGGTGAGTGATGTGGCCCATGGGCTTCTTGCTTATCTAATTTAGTTTTATCTTTGTATGCAACACTTTTTCCTTCTTTAAGTTTTTACAGAGGTTCTAATTAATTTAAGTTTTTTATGAAATATTTTTCCTTGTCAAGTTCTATAAGCATGTTCTACCTCATACACAAGTAGTATATGAAGATTTTCTAGATGTTTCATATTTTTTTTAATTTTTCTTGAAAAGCATAACTGATGTACATGTAATTGTAAAAACTGTGTTTGTCCCTTGTGATACATGATTAATTTATGTCAGTTTGAATTTATCATATATATTAAAATATACTATTATACAGTCTGTTTGTCATGGAATTAAACTTGTTGAGTTTTTATTCCACCTCTATAATTGAAGATTTGGGGGCATATTTTGATAAACTGTCTGTCTGTTTATGTGTCTCCAAATTTACTAATTTTTACTACCCATGGCCATTCCTTTTGAACTTTTTTTAACCTTTAAGTTAGACTTTGACCTACTTTGGTAAAAAAAAAAATGATGTGAATGATTAGTGCTAGGGCTTTCATATTTCAAATGTGTATTCCTTGTAATGAAACTTCTCTTTTTACCCCAAACAAAGGAAGTTTTAGGGATATATAGGAATCACATTGTCTGTGAATGTAATTTTGTCTAGGCTCTAACTTTGATATATGGAAACATTGGAAGCTTATACTTGTTTTGAGCTTGCTTATAATGACCCGACAGTGAGTCCTGATCTGACACAAGGTCATTCCTGCAAGTTCAAGGTCACTGGCCTAAAAGTATGGAATTTTTGTCTGGGTCATAACTTTGTAGAAAGAATCACTGGAAGCTCAAACCTGGTACAGGGATTGCTTATGACCCAAAAATGTGTCATGATCTTATCCAGTCATTCCATTTAGTTCAAGGTTACTAGTAGAAAAAAGATATGACATAACTTGACTTTGTAATGGAGAGTCAATGGAAGCTCATACTTGGTACAGATATTGCTTATGATCAAAGAATATGCCTTGACCTTTATCCAAGGTCATTTTGGCGATTTCAAGGTCACTGGTAGAAAAAAGAAAAAAAATGTCTCGGCAAAGACTTTATTTGGAAAAGAATTGGTACAGGTATTCTTTTTGAAATAAGGAAAGTTCTTATTTTAATCCAGTACGTGTCAGTGCAGCAAGTTCAAAGTTACAGGCAGAATAGTGTAAAAAAAAAATTTTCAAAACTTTAACTTAACAATGTAGAAATACTAGGAGCTCGTACTTGATACAAAGATTGCTCATTGGAACCTGATACAGGTACTGTTTATGAACCTAAGGAGTGTCATGACTTTAATTCGAAGTCAAATAGCAAGTGAAAGGTTGGTGGTATAAGAATTTTGGAGCAATCCCGATCAAAATAAAAACCATAATGAATAAAATAACAATTTATTGCCTTCTGTATTGTCCCCCGCTTTAGCATTAAATCTCATTCGTCTGTCCGTCCGTCACAAAAACTTGAACCTTGCCCATTATTTTTGATTTAGTGGAGCTATGACTTTTATATTTCACTTGTGTGTCCCTTGTGAGAAGACCTTTCTTTGGGTACCACCATATTTGACCTTTTGACCTAGACCTTGGAGTTTGACCCACTTTTACACAACAAGAAGCCCATGGGCCACATCGCTCACCTGAGCACTAAGGGTAGGAAAAAGTAGAAAATGGCTTTTTATTGTAAAGTTTAAATCCAAAAGTAGTCCCATGACGAATCATGGATTTGCTATTTTTTAGAAAATGATTTTTAAAGAATTTTCCTATATATATCTTTAAAAACTTTGGTCGGCCATTTTGGCCCCGCCCTACCCCTAGGGGTCATGATTTGAACATT